TGCCATCTTGTACTATTGTAAATATATGCTTGTAATTTGCTGGGAAAGGGCTTAATATAAGTTTGATAACTTGTGCCCAATCCATTTGCTTGGCAATAAAATATGTTTAAACTAAAATGTGTCAACCGAGTGGAACAATGAAACTAAAGCAGAAATAAAACTAAAAACCTTATCTAGCCCTTAAAACAGTGTGAACAAAAGATCCAGTATTGTGAAGAACGTACAGAAGAACAACAAACATAGTCCGAATTCCATATATTCGGGGGAGGTTGAAAGTATTACATCGTGTGATAAAAAGGCATGGAATGAGTATGTACCATAAAACATATAACTCTATCAGACAAAAACGCTCACAAGTCTAGGAAAAATCAGGAACGCCGACACATTGCGGGGTTCTATACTATAAACACACACAAAAGTACAGTTTAAAAAAATACAGAAAATAAAAACCTGATGACGTTTTTTGTATATTAGAAAAAATGAAACCAGTCAGTTGCTCTAAGGGAAGGAACTCTCACGACTTTGTTCACGAAACTTTTGACTTGACTATGAAGTTTAAAACAAGCAGTTACAATTTTATGTAGTGGACAAGATTTTATCAAGGGTACGTGTATTACTCAAAGCACTTGTTGGCAAATTCGACTTTAAATCTTATATTTAATAATTTTCCCTGATTTTTCACCAGAAAAATGTAATGAAAACAATGTACATGTATTTATTGCGATATCTTACTTTATTTTGTTGAATTGATGTGTTATAAAGGATGTGTTTAATAACGTTTTAGTTGTGATAAAAATATATCAGAAAACTTATATAATCTTTTACGGTATCTCATTAAGTATACCAGTTACAACCAATAATTCAATTTAACGTTATTTTTATTTTTACATATTTGTTAGAAAATGAGACGTAAGCTAACTTCTTGTGCAACTCGTGTAGAGATTGTTTGTGATATACAATCCTTACATTTAAAGTTTGCTAATATTTTTAAAAGTCTTAATGATCTAACGTTGAAATTCAAAAGCATCCAATTGACCATTTTCAGAATATGTTTCCGAGTAATGGGACGGGTGTGCTACAATTGAAAAGGGAAGTGTTATAGAAGGCTGAGTCAGGGGCTAGCCGTATGATTACAAAACTTCCATCATATACAATTATTGATACTTTTTACTACGAAAAAGGTCTTGAAATTCTTTTTAGCGGACAAAAACTAATATACATGTAACTCCGATTGCTTTATAGCATATACAATAACCCATTAATACTTGCATCATCCTTTTGGCGAAAGAAAAGAAAAACAATCGTCTTGCACTTAAAGGATGACACAATTTAGATGTTCCCGTACTTACTCTACTCTTACCCCTTAAAGTTGGATTGTTTTAGACTATTCAAGAAGAATACTGTTTCTTTCAACCCATTCAAAACCTTATAAACTTAAAATATACAGTCAGTCCAGTTTATCAATTTGAGATATGGAGATTGTATGTTGAATATTCTGCATATTAAGTCAGACAGCAGTGCAGTGCCCTTAATCTTGACTTTTAAATGACAAACCTTCTGATAAGTGACGGTCTTAATTTTTTGCATCCTCGTTAGAATATATGTTATTGTTTCTTTGACTTCCAATACAAAACCGAGGCTTATCCTTTTACTTACATGGAACGCTAGGTCTTGGGTATTGAGTTCGATGTTGAAATATTTTCTTTTCGAAATTATTTCAGACCAAAAGGACTAAAATAACATTCGGATATTTAAAATAAATCACTAAATTCAGCAATCAATTTCATATTGTAAGATGTATTTAATTTATTACTGCACGCTTCCATTATTATCATGCAATGATGAATATCTATTTAAGAGAAGTTGTTCAGCATAGATTATTACAATACTCTCATATTTCGCTTTACGTTTTTGATAAATATGTTTAAAGGAAACCAAAGCTCAATAATTTAGTAAGCGATATACATGTATCTTATATTTTCTAAACAGAATAACATATACTGTACCGCTGTAGTTGTCGCCGTCACAAACGTATGCTAAAGTCAACGTAAATCTCCTCCTGAAATCTAATACAAAGAGTAGTTCTACCGAATGTAAAGCAATTGCAAAATATCACCATAAAGTTCAATGTCCGATCACAGATATACTTGTTAAACCACGGTGCTCCACTGTCAGACGTAGCTCTCAATTTGTTATATGTCACATAAACAAGTCTTGGCTCACAATTTATAACATTTACTTTTATTATGCTGAGAGAATTTGGAATTCGGACTTGATATAACAAGAATGAAAGGTACTTAGAAAACATTCATATTAGGAGATTTTATCTAAAACATAACTGTTTTCGACCTTCGCGGGGAGTCAAACACAATTTCATGAGGTTGTCTTTTTCTATTAAACTCCTCACAGTTCTTAACAAAACACTGAATTCTCCCTTCCAGACCACTACTTCCTTTAGCCCAATTGAACAGTTTTTGCTTTCTCTCTTCTTCTCTGTCTACTTTTAAACTATGTTCTTTTTGCTCCATTTTGCTCATTTCCTGCAGTTCCCGTCGGGATCTCGTTTGCTTTCGTTTATGCAAATTAATCTCGTACACCATAACAGGCATGACGTCAACAGCCTCGAGCACCTCTCCGTCCTTGACCCGACGCTGCCGAAACGTGACAGGTCTTTGTGACTTTGGTCTCCGATCGAGGCGCGAAAATGCTCGTTGAGTCGGTGCACGTGCAAAGGCTGAATGTGCATGTCGCTTTTGTGGATGTGACGATCGAGCTGGCGTGTTCTCTTGTTTGGTTCGCGGCTCATTGGGAGTTTGTATTGGATTGCGATGTCTTATTGGCGAAGAGAACTTTTGCATCGATAAGGCGAACATTGTAAGCGTATTCATGGCTCGTCGTGGTTTATCTGAGTCTGTATCACTACCTCTCGCTTCACTCGTTGTGCCGGAATCTTGTTGATTACCGTTGGTATTAATCCGATTAACTTCGTTACACAAATTGTCCACACTAGCCTCCGAACTTTTGTCGCTTATTTTGTCCTTCTCGTCAACATGCTTACCTACCTTGCCTCCTGAGAAAATACTCACGCTATCTCCTATTGCACCCTTCTTAATAGCGTCACTTAACTGCTGCATATTCTCCGCCACCTTTCTCGCTTCCTTGAGAGTTTCGTTCCTCTCCACTCTGACCCGGTAACGTTCCCTGCCGATCTGAGCAAGCTTGCTCTCCAGCTCACTATCCAGAATCTCATTATCAAAGTAGGTGTTGCTGTAGTCTAATTTGATCCCTATTCCAGACTCGTGCTCCTGAACAGGACGCCTTGTCTTCAACATTGTGTGATGTTAGTGCACCGATTATTTAGTGCAATGGCTAGGATCACGCATATAGCATGCGGGGCAATATTGATGCCCTGATGTCACGTGTTGCGTTGGGGATAATGGTTTCATATATATCCCAATGCTCCAATTAAATGACGCGTTTCTTATATTGATAATGTAATATTCCACCCACAGGAGGTCGATATGTATACACACGGTACGCATAACATTGCAGTGACATCAATTATAAATCATCCGGACACTGTTTACATTGAATATATCGCCCACTGTTGTTGTCTACCTATAGAGTACAGATTTTTCTGTGAAAATTCAGAAAAAAGGAATATATCCAGTCGATAGCTCCGTGAACCTCTGCACTATTTACAGAATGAGTAAAGAACGATGTGTGGAACACACAAAGACACCACCTATAGTCCTAATAACGTCCGTTTATTGTCCTCTGATAATTGTCCAGAGAATAAAGGTCCGTGCACCACGCTGTCTCTGTCAGTATTCAAACGTGAAGAGGATTTGGTAGAAACGTAGAAATTACTCCGCACAATTTTGAAATCTGCAAATATAAAAATTAGAGTTAGAAGATATACATTTCATTATGAAATAATCTTAATCAAGTTACATAGAATCTTCAATATTTTTAATGAAATACAACATCTTTGTTTGTTTTTTGGACTACACGCTTAATTAAAAATGTATTATCATCCCATTTAGATATCCTATGTTAGACGATATCTCAAGTAGGTGCAGGTCTTAGAGCTGTCTTTGAGAACACCTGTCGCGTAATATACATTTTTTAATACACCAGCTCAAATTATCAATATGTGTATGTAAACAATATTATATTAACAAAATGGATATTTTGTTATGTTTATCGGTATAATTTCTTGTCAAGATTAATTTGTTTTTCTCTTTTAATCCAAGACTTTTTTCTCTTTTAATCCAAGACTTTTTTCTCTTTTAATCCAAGAAACTGGTGGCGAGTTCATTTCTTAAATAAATTGGCCAAGTAGTGTGTTTTGATTGCAAGCAAACAAGGGCATGCCGATCTATGAAACAAAAACTGCAATGGGGGATTTAATCTCGGGATTGCTAAGCTTATAAGGTTATAATTCCCCTAAGATATAAGTGAAGTGAACTGCAAAGACAAATTCGATTCATCAATCCATGAATTTCAGCTTGGCAGTATCAAGTCCTTAGATCTATAGTTAACATATTCAAAGTACTGTACATTACCGTGATGTACTTATGTCTCTGTCAATGTCAGTGATGGTAACGTGGAAGAGCGAATAGTCGAAAAAAAAACCCAGAAAAATGGTCCTACTTAGCCATTAAAGTAGAATGTAACCACTTGAAATCCTCGGGTAAATGACACAAGTTACACTTGGCATTTAATTGACTCCAACACATGTCCAAGGAAATATTCCTACTCGCGTACTAAATTAACAAAAGCTCACTTTTTATGTTTTGTTTTGTATGGGTAACGTATATTCTAACAGGATGTGTCGTGATCGTACAGATCATTTCGACTGTTTAATGTGTCCTTTCATGTTGTATCCTTGCACTCAGGGTTATAAGTGAAGGCAGAGCGTGTCAATTACACTGTAATACCAGTGATGTATAGTAGTCAATAAGATTAGTTGTTTGTGTCAGGCGTCAGATTAGTTAAAATATGGTAGGCCACGTTGCTTTAATTAAAGATTTATACTTTATTTCATGCCATCGTAGCAGTAAAGAAGATCACGTTTAAGAATTTACGAGACAAAAACATCTCAATATATCTAAACGAAAGTTCACAGGGAGCGCTGGTTTTTAAATTGGTGCCACCAAGTTTTTCAGACAGACACTGTCGACAGAGGGTAAATATCAAGTCATTCAGACAGACATTGCCAGGGATGTAAACGATATCTGTATATATTATGTTTTTTTGAATAATTACTTTAATTATGATATAATCTCGCGATTACGTAAGGCACATGTAATGCGAACTGAATGGTGAATCCGTGCGTGTTATCATAATGTATCTATGTCGTGTTGAGGCGACAGTTAGTGTAAACACTGTAGCAATAGGTTCTATACACATCAACACATCTTGGCACTGCATCAACATTGTGGCTTCTAAAACGATTCAGGATTGCCATAGAAGCCACAGATTAATCATACGTAGTTATCGTGTTCGGTCACAGTTAATACAAATATTAATGTGTATAGCATAAAGATATAAGTATGAATTATCATAGAGAATCATTAGAGGCAGTAGCTGTTGCATTATATAAATATCACTTCCACAATATATTAGCCACGTTATTGTCATAAAAATATTTCGACAAACTGGTACAATACACTTCTTATTTCATGGTTATGAACTAAGCCAGAAAACTGCAATAACATAATAACTACTAGTGTTATTGAGAAAACTGTCTTAAAGACATCGGGCTGTTTATTTTCGGTGAATAACATTGACATTCGTAAAAACAGTTGACACTTGTTTTAAGATTTTAAGGCATCGTGACATCATTCCACGACACAGGTGTGCAAAAGTATTATCACGTACATTGTCTCCTCCTTTACTTCCAATACTGACAAATTTCTTAGTTTTTCATTTAGCAACCAGTATTTATATTTATTTTATTTCTTAATTTGCCTCCTGCTGTTTCCTCTATTCAGCAAAATGTATAACTTCAACTCAAAACCGTGATTGGCCAACCAACGGGAAGCCGCCATTTTTTTCCTTTATTTAATTAATTATCTATTGTACCTTAGCATATTGTGTGTGTTTTTTATGAAATTGACATCCATATTCTAAAAAATTACTGCCCTACATCTACAAAAGAAATAAGCAATTATTTCTATCTTATATAAATCTGCTGGATATGGTTGTGATATGGCTATTTTACGGTAAAAACCTACCACAACGTCAACGAATGATCAAAAGGACGAAGTAAACGACAATGTTTACACCCAAGGACAGGATACACCACCGCGTCAATACATCAGGACTGAATAAGACCTCAACGTCAACACGAACTCACTAAAAAAAAAAAAAGAACCATAGCGACCTTTCCTAAAGTCTACTAATGTAAAACTGTTTATAACACCTTCACTTGAAGAAATAAGCAATAAATCCCTATACATGTGAAAATAAATATTAAATCCCAGGCTGGTGAAAATAAACACAAGCCCAACTCAGTCCGCTGAATCGAAAAAGCCAATTGTTCTTATTTATTTTGTTATTTTGTAACGTCAAATAGAAGATCTATAGAGTAAAGCTTTTTTTTATCTTATTATGTTTCATTTAGTTTCTACAGTTATTATATCTCAAATATTGTCAACAGTTGTCATCTCTCAAATATTGTCAACAGTTGTCATCTCTCAAATATTGTTAATAGTTGCCATCTCTCAAATACTGTTAACAGTTGTCATCTCTCAAATATTGTTAACAGTTGTCATCTCTCAAATATTGTTAACAGTTGTCATCTCTCAAATATTGTTAACAGTTGTCAACTCTCAAATATTGTTAACAATTTTCATCTCTCAAATATTGTTAACAGTTGTCATTTCTCAAATACTGTTAACAATTGTCATCTCTCAAATATTGTCAACAGTTGTCATCTTTCAAATATTGTTAACAGTTGTCATCTCTAAAATACTGTTAACAGTTGTCACCGCTCAACTATTGTTAACAGTTGTCATCTCCCAAATATTGTTAACAGTTGTCAACTCTCAAATATTGTTAACAGTTGTCATCTCTCAAATACTGTTAACAGTTGTCATCTCTCAAATATTGTCAACAGTTGTCATCTTTCAAATATTGTTAACAGTTGTCATCTCTAAAATACTGTTAACAGTTGTCGCCGCTCAACTATTGTTAACAGTTGTCATCTCCCAAATATGGTTAACAGTTGTCAACTCTCAAATATTGTTAACAATTTTCATCTCTCAAATATTGTTAACAGTTGTCATTTCTCAAATATTCTTAACAATTGTCATCTCTCAAATATTGTTAACAGTTTTCATTTTTACAAATATTGTTATCAGTTGCCATCTCTCAAATATTGCTACCAGTTGTCATCTCTCAAATATTGTTAATAGTTGCCATTTCTCAAATACTGTTAACAATTGTCATCTCTCAAATATTGTTAACAGTTTTCATTTTTACAAATATTGTTATCAGTTGCCATCTCTCAAATATTGCTACCAGTTGTCATCTCTCAAATATTGTTAATAGTTGCCATTTCTCAAATACTGTTAACAATTGTCATCTCTCAAATATTGTTAACAGTTGTCATTTCTCAAATACTGTTAACAATTGTCATCTCTCAAATATTGTTATCAGTTGCCATCTCTCAAATATTGTTAACAGTATTCATATCTCAAATATTGTTATCAGTTGTCATCTCTCAAATATTGTTAACAGTTGTCATCTCTCAAATACTGTTTACAGTTGTCATCTCTCAAATACTGTTATCAGTTGCCATCTCTCAAATATTGTTAACAGTTTATCTTGAAAGATAATAACTGGCGACACTTCATGAGAGATGACAACTGTTGACAGTATTTGAGAGATGACAACTGTTAACAGTATTTGAGAGATGACAACTGTTAACAGTATTTGTTAACAGTTGTCATCTCTCAAATATTGTCAACAGTATTCATCTCTCAAATATTGTTAACAGTTGTCATCTCTCAAATACTGTTTACAGTTTTCATCTCTCAAATATTGTCAACAGTTGTCATCTCTCATGAAGTGTCGCCAGTTATTATCTTTCAAGTATGTCGACAAATAATTTATTGTCGACAGTCATTGCCTATCAAATAGTGTTCAATAGACTAAACACTGTAGTCTATAAAAACGCAACATTCTTGCGTCTAATTTCAACATTGTAAAGTGGTTTTATCATGCGTTTTTATGATTTGTTGATTCTCCTAATATTATAAACATGCGTTAACCATTTTACTGATCTACTGAGAAATGACGAGAGTGACGTTAACACTCGCTCTCTTTGATCTTTATTGCTATTGTACGTCCTTTGTAGTTATATATTTGAGTAGTGTCAAATGCCTCAGTTTAAAAATCACCGTGACCTAACCGTTTCAGTGTTAAATACTATTTAATTTCTTAAGTTATTGAGTCTAGTGAAAGTGATGGATGTCCCAGTACACCCGCTCCACGCAGTTTGTAATTAAACCCCTTTATGAATAGAAACTCCACACATGATACCGTATGAAGTATTGACAAACTCACAATGGCATTAACCAAACTTTTTATGTATCACGGCATGTCTGGCGTTGGTAGGCATTTAATATGATTGGATAACAGAAGACCCTACCCGGCCCCTTCGTGACTAAAAATCATTGGATACTAAAACCGCATATCGCGTGTCATTGTTTAGCCTATATAAACATCTATAAGATATTGACAACGCATTTTTTGAGGTAGTGATGTCTTTGGATTTCTAAGCTACTAAATCAATACCCAATAACAGTACATGTCACGTACAAAATACAAATGGCTTTCAATGTGAGCAAATTCAAAGGCTGCTTCAGGAAAGAATG